GTGAACCCAGGAGGCGGAGCTTGCAGTGAGCGGAGATACTCCAGGTGGAGTACGCCACCCTACTCCAGCCTGGGCGACAGAGCGAGACTCCGTCCCAAAAAAAAAAAAAAGTCAGCAAATATACAAAAAGAGACAAATGAGCATACGAAAAGATGCTTGACATCACGTCATTAGGAAATTACAATTTTTAAAAAGGAGACACCACTACACAACTACTATAATGGCCAAAATATAAAACCCCCAAATGCTGGTGAGGAAGTGAAACATTCATTGCTGATGGGAATACAAAATGGTACACAGTCACTAAGAGTCTGTCGATTTCTTACAAAAGTAAACATACTCTCACATGTGACCCAGCAATTGAGCTCCTTAGTATTTACCCAAATGATCTGAAAACTTATGTCTACACAAAAACCTGCACACAAATTTTTACAGCAGGTTTATTCATAGTTGCCAAAACATGGAAGCTAGCAGGATGTCCTTCGGTGTGTGAATGGATAAACTGTGCTATATCCAGACAATGGAATATTATCTAGCACTAAAAAGGAATGAGCTACGAAGCCATGAAAAGACATGGAAGAACTGTAAATGCATATAAATAAAGAAGGCAATTTGAAAAGTCTACAAACGGTATAAATACAACTATGACATTCCGAATAAGGCAAAACTATGAAGACAGTAAAAAGATCAGTGGTTGCCAACAGGGAGAGGGGAGGGAGCAGTTGGGGGAAAAAGGAAGGGAAGGATGAATAGGCACAGCAGGGGATTTTTAGGGCAGTGAAACTATTCTTTATGATAGTACAATGGTGGATACATGTCACTATACACTGTCCAAACCCACGGACTCTACAACACCAAGAGTAAGCCCTAATGTAAACTATGGACTTTGGGAGATGATGATTGTTAGTGCTAAGTTCACGAATGTTAACATACCACTCTGGTGCAAAATACTAACGGGTGGGAGGCTGTGTGAGCATGGAGATAGAGGGTATATGGGAACTGTCTGTACTTTCTACTTAATTTTGTTGTGAACCTAAAACTGCTCTAAAAAAGAAAAGTAATTTAAACAAAAAAAAGTCAAGGAATGTGTTTATTTAGCAATTCGTATATAAGGAAGTACCAATATACTCATTGTTATATATGCATCAAATCAAAAATACTCAAATTTATACTGTATATTCGGGCTGGGCGCGGTAGCTCACGCCTGTAATCGCAACACTTTGGGAGGTCAAAGTGGGCAGATCACTTGAGGTCAGGAGTTCGAGACCAGCCTGGCCAAGATGGTGAAACTCTGTCTCTACTAAAAAAAAAAAAATTTAAAAAAAAAAAATTAGCCAGGTGTGGTGGTGTGCACCTGTAATCCCAGCTATTGGGGCAGGTGAGGCAGGAGGATTGCCTGAGCCCAGGAGGCAGAGGTTACAGTGAGCCAAGATCACACGCTGCACTCCAGCCTGGGCCACAGAGTGAGATAAATACACACACACACACACACACACACACACACACACACACAGAGTATACTAGGGATCCTGGGTCCTGGGGAGGGGATATATAAACAAACAAAGTACCTCCCCACAAGGACCTTGAAATATGTGACAGACCTTATATATTTACAAAAAGCTAAATAAAATGGAATTTAAATTTAAATAGTTCAAGATGGCTGAAAAAATACCACAGAAGAGTAAGCTGCCAGATTACTAAAATGGACACTAATAGGACAATATGTGCTTAGGGCTTCAGTCATTTCTGGCTAAAGGGATCAGGAAGTTAAGATATGCTCTAGATCTTGAAAATGACTAAGACTCAGCTAAATGACTGGAGTGAATTGGTGCATTCCAAGAAAGAACAAAACTACTGTAGTTAGGAAAGAGAATTAAATGGACTATTTCACAAAACTTATAAATAAGGAGACAAGACTAGAGAGATTAGTAAAGGCCAGATCGTGCAGCTCAGAGCCTCAAAAATCTTCACTCTTAAATACTGACAGGGAGCAAATACTTACCCAACTTGTGTACATACTGATAGCTCTTAATCCAGTTAAAGTTTATTTATAAACATTTTATATCAGATACAGATAATATAAAGACATATACTAGTAGTCATAGTTAAAAATTCACTGTCTTTGCCACCCAATACATATACATACAAGTCCTGTTTCCATCCTTCAACTTCAAATCTACAGGCAACCCATAACCCTACAAACTGAACCCCAGGCATCCATAAGACATATTACTCTATTACCTAGTAAAACTCTATATGGTTATCCCCAAGCTTTATCCCCTCAGACACAGATGCCTTTCCTCTGCGGTAGAAAAGAAAGTGGCCCATTGCCCATAAACGGGAAAGAGGGATTATGTTAGGACCATGATCACTACTGGCATCTTCTCTCTATTTATAGGGCTGTCACCCTCTATTAATCATTAAAAGCAAACTTCCTAAATACCTGCAGATTCCAAGTAAAGCATAAAATGCAGCATTCCCTCCTCAATCATCTGAACTGGGGCAAACAGGACCCTATACAACCTATGATAATTATTAATAATAATAAACTTCAGGCCACGTGAGACAGCTCATGCCTGTAACCCCAGCACTTTGGGAGGCTGAGGTGTGAGGATCATTTGAGGCCAGAAGTTCAAGACCAGCCTGGGCAACACAGCAAAACCCCATCTCTACAAACATAAAAAAATTTTACAAATAATAATAAATTTCATTTCTCAGATATGAAAATGTTTCAGAATACATCCATTGTTAACGTTCAAATTTTTTCTGTGATCCTTCATTCCATTCACTATAAACCCTTCTACATATTTTAATTCATATACTCAATCTTCATGCATGGGGACCTGCAATTTTATCCAATCCCAAACTCTTCTAATTAACAAATGCCCCAACAAAACCTGTTATCCCAAATCAATGTTATGTTTTACTTATCTACCTATACCTTCTTGTCATACACCTAAAACCCTCCACTTTAGTAATCTACCACTAAAGTGAATATTGTCTTCCCTTCCATGTACAGGCACATAAATATATGTCCAATTTCCCCAATCAACAAACCCTGACACACATTATTATTCTCAAACATGGCCTCCAGACATAAAAAGCACCCCACAAAATTCCTCTATCTATCCAAAACACTTGAATACTTCTGTTAATGACTTTCTTTAGAAATCCTAGTACATATGATACCACTGATTCCAAGTTAAAAATCACAAAAATACTACATCTTCAAGATAGAAACATATACTAAAAAGTGTAGACATGTATGAAAAGGATAAAATCAAATTACAGATAACGTTTATGAAGAGGGAGGGTTGGAGAAATGCAGTCCAGGAGAGATTCAGCTGAGATTTTAATCCTATTTGTAAAGTTTTATTTCTTAAGCTGAGTTGGGGATGCATGGTATTCACTGTAATTACTCTTCATACCTTTTCATACTTGAAATATTTTAAATGACTTTGAAAAGGAAAGATATCCAATTACTAATGAGCATCTCCCTCTTACACACAGTGACAAGCCATTATGTCCAAGTTGCAGTAACTGTTCACTGCTACATCTGGGCCACCCCTATCATTTACTAAGCCAAGAAAAGAAAAAATTACAAACCTACCTCCCAAAACTTTCTCTTAGCTATATTCCAGGTTTATATCCTAAAACTATACCTAATCCAATTCTTTCACAACTCTCACATCGACAATAATTAACATGTCTAATTTCACGTTTGCATCCCTAAATTGCCATTTACTCTTACAAACGACCTATTATCCACACAGTAAACTTTTTCTTGTTGTCTACGTTAAAATACAAGTGAATTGGTTGACCACGTAACTACTTCCACTTGGCTAAATGCAGACAGTTGTATACATTATATCTCTATGCAGGAGTACAATTCACTCATATACTAACTTTTCAATCTTAACCTACAACATCCAAATTAAGCCACCCATCATTTAACCACAAATGAAATGTCATCTCCGCCAAATGTAACTCAGCCAGAGCCATTCCAAAACCACTCCAGTCCGTCCACTGAGCATACACCTCACGCATCTAAAAGTCCCGTCCCTGGACCAAGGTTTACGCCACCCAGAAGCGCTCTCTTCCAATGGTGAGACACAGACACACCTTCAAATCCCAATTTTCGGGTCGCTGTGGGAAAACAAGTAGAGATGGCCTGAAGTTACAAACCCAAAAGAATCTATTTCATACACCACAGATACTGACTTTCTCGTCACTGGGGCGTAGAAGTTGGAAGCCCCGAGCAAGGGGACCAGGTCTAGTAGTCTTTGGCGTCCGCAGAGTCCTACAGTCGTCGACCAAGCAGTTCAGGCAGCTGGCCCGCCTACTTCCCTCCCCACCC